GTGACAGGACAGTGCGGTGAATCGGTGTAGGTGTGTGCGTGCGTGTGTGTACACAAGTGTCAGAGTGTCAATATGGGCAGAATTTATTCTATACTTATCCTATTTTAAAAATCTTTATCGATATAACTACAATTTTCGCTTTCATATGTGAAGAACAAAAGATGATTTTTTCATAACTCTTAAGTTAGGCTTTATCTGATAGCCAGATTGAATCAACTCAGGTAGTTTCACCGGATATAATGCTGAAGTGCTAAGTTTCCCGGCTCTACGGATCTCCAGTGGAACATTAATATCGAGAAGCAACGCTTCTTCGGTTTACCAGCTACGAGCTTAGAGATTCCTGTGGTATGGCAATAGCGGCCTTGATGATGACTGAGGCGCCTCTGTCTTCCCCTTGAATTTGCTCTCAACATTCCTATATTCATCTGTTCTTTTATGCAAAATTGGTGGTCCGAAGACCGCAACCAAAACAGGCGCAAAGCAAGTTCATGGTTAACGGTTGCGAAAACTGAAAACTGGGCCACCCCTCGGCACAGGGTTCGAGATCTCCGTTTTGCTGAGATCACTATCCTATTAATCTTCGCCGTCGATACGGAAGATATTAGAGACTGCTGCTCCAGTGATCTACTGCCATCTTTTACCACAACCGAAGACCATCAATAGTGCCTGGTGCCACAGAACAATCGAATGGGCCAATCCAAGCTTGATACTCCAAAACAACTTCCGGTATTTCAAAATTATACAGGAGAGATTTCAGTCAGCTGACCACGCACAAACTCTGTCAAGATCGTTTGGCATCGAGTTTGAAGTGATTGTCAGCCGTTGTGGTATCCCGTACACACACACACACACACACACACACCAGAAGGTTCAGTATTCAGACTCCTTTCTTGTCGCTTGCATTTTTCAGTTCCCTGCATGCCTTTAGATATCACCCGAACACCTAGAGCCATCAACTTCCTAAAAGTTCTTTTTACAGCTTTTTACTCATTAAAAGAAAGCGAAAATACTATTCTTATTTTTTGAACCGTCCTTGAACTTGAGGCACATATGACAATAAAAGGATAACCCTGAAGCAAATCAATGTAGCCCTCTTCTGCTCTGTCTTCTAGGATTTGATACATTAACGTCTAAGCTCATGACAAACTGCTCACTCTCACAACGCGACCAATGGATCGGTTCATTTTTTTTAGGTCATTGTGATGAAACTGTAGTATGAGTATAGAACCATAATACACTATTAATGTTTCCCTTAGTCATATTTAGAACTTTCGGGAGATGGCGCAACATTATGCAACCAGGCTTCAAACCGACCGAAAACAATCTCAGTGTCGTGTGGAATGCTCCAAACATAAAGATCAATTCACAATCGGACGTTGGATACAACGCTTACGACCATTGAACTTGGTCTGCTGCTTATTTGTCTTCGGCCTTGCATCTGTCCTCCTCTGGTATAACGATCTTCAATCCACCACTATCCTACTCGAGTAAGACGTGCCGAAATTCTGTTCAAGTTTTCGCTGTTCATAACACCAATTTTGGATGAGCATATTTTGCCATCTGTTTCTTTTTCAAACCGCTTGTGAAAAATTGCAGGATTGTGTGGTGGAGCCAAACAGTCCAGGCCATTTCACATTAGCAACTATTAGTGATATAGGGAATGGTCGCTCAGTATACGTTGGGATATCCTGCTCGGACCAGAGTATAGACGACTTTAGTCACTTCATCCAGTGAAATCTGGGATCCAATTTTAGTCACACTGGTTATCGTTCTAATAGAAATTATCCAAATTTGAGATGATGTGCAATGATCGTATCTCGGGATGCGGATGTTGATGTTGGTGCGTTCTGCTAGCTGGAAGTGTTGTTCGCAGACGTCTCGTAGCTAAGATAGCTAACATCCTCGGTGCGACTTCGGGGAAGCGCCAATCATCAGTGTGGTCGGGATTATAAAGTTTTGTTCCAGAGTTTTTGATTGCCTGTTTGCCTCCGTTTGATCTTATTGGTCAATAGCAACCACCAATAGCAACAGCCAATCAAATCACAGCAAACGGTGCTGTTGACCAATAGGATTGAACGGAGGCAAACAGCCAATCGAAACCCTCGAACAGAACTATATAAACTCGGTCACACTGAGGACTGGCGCTTCCACGAAGTCGCACCGATGATCTTGCCTAGCTTGGCTACGAAGCGTCTGCATAAAACACTTCCAGCTCGGAGAATTCACCAACACCAAATTTGCTACCATGGGGTCGAATTCCTGAGCAGCCCTAACTCAATGCTTACTAATGCATTTTAAGTTAACTTCATGTCCTTCATACTAAATCATCCTCGGTTTATTTTCGTTGAGTTGCTTGTCGCAAGCTCAGGCGGAATCACAATTGCAACCTAGTTCAATTTATCCGATCATCAAGTGGCTGGTCCGAGTTTGCTTACTATCCTTTCACAACCCTTCTGTTATCACCTTGGGTCATCCGCACAAACTCTACCTCTGGCGTTCACTTTGGCAAGATGGATGACAGCGAGAGCGAGATGAGTGTTTTTTCTGCAACCTGCACATGATGCAGTCAACTGCTTCGAAAGTTGCTTTAACTGCTCGACTGACTAACGAAAATAAAAGAGAATCCATATGAGAGTAGTATCGATATGAGGATACAGAAAATATGTGAACTGTGTGTGCTTGAAAAGTGAGTAGATGTGTGTTCTCGTTCAGTATCTCAAACCGTTGATCAAGTTGGTTAGGAGATACCACACCGTGAAACTCTATATAACCTATGTGATCAAACCTCTAAATCGGGGTTTTATTACTCCTAAGCCGGGTCATAGTTGAACTACCCTTGCTTTTCATCAACTGTTGCCTACTGTGATAAACATTGCCCGTGGATGAATATTATCCGGTTTCGGTTCGTGTAGAGTTTTCCAACCATCTTAATCTATGGCACATCAGGAAGTCGCATCCTTTTGTAGTTCAAAGCCTTAAGTGACAGTGACTTAGGAGCGCCAAATCTCCTAGTGTTGCAATAAAGTAAACTACAGACGATCATTTGGATAGTTTTCTTTAGAAGACATTTCGATTAGAAATCAATGTCGCCTAGTTCCAATTGTGGTGTATGCACCACTGTGAATTTCCCAAAAGGACAAACCAGATGTGCATTGCTTTCAAAACATTTTTATGCTGAGTGGCACCTCCTCAAGTCATGGAAACTTACCTTTGATCATTCCCAATAGACACAAGGGTCTTGCAATGCTTCAAGGTTGGTCAGTTACGTGTGTGACAAGTTGAACTTGTATGGAAAACAACTCCTAATCGTTTTAGTTTTACCCTATGTTCTGTATAGTGTTAAGACAAAAGGTGTTTCCTGTTTTCATGAACTTCCAAATCAACAAGGAGACTTATCTAAACACAAGTGTTTTGAGTATCTGTGAGATTTAGTACATGATGTACAGAGTCGTTTTAACCATTACTCACTTCCTCTTCATCCGTGTCTGCATTACACGTGGCAGTAAACCAGAAGGACATCCAGATGAATTGATTCTTCTCGGGTTCTATGATGCTGTAATCCGTGCCTACAAGTCCACTCGGTCGTCTCATGCTAAATTGCTTGTGCGCGATTCCCTATTGCTAATGAATGAAGTGCTACCGGATGTGAGTGAGTCTGCCCTATCCCGGTGGCTACAGGACAAACTGAAGTTGAAACACTCCCGGATCCGAGGGCGGGTTGATGTGAACACCTACGACCGACCTGAATGTCGTGAACCGACTCGCTTATCCGACTGGGTGGAAATCCATACACATGCACAAACATGCCAACAAGGAGTGCAAATCGCTCGAAGTCTGCATCAATTTTACCCCAATATCACTGCGCGTTTGGCCGTGACAGAAACTTGCAACTCGACAACCATTTCAAAAGATCTTTCCAAACAAATTTACTGGTATTTCAAGCAACCCGATAAAGCTTTTCTGTGGCTTCGTCTCGCTAAACTCTCGCAAAGACGATACATTTTAGTTGGGCGTGATTTGGATTATTTGACCAAAGATAGCGATTTGAAACGCTTGTTAAACATAATATGCACCGATCAGGCGGATATTGTAGGTGGAGCGGTACGTTGGGAGCCTGAAAGACACTGGGATCTAGGTTGTTATCAGGTGAGTGGATTTACTGAACTTCAAGATGTCAACATCATAGTTGTCACTACAAGTGTAGTCATCTTCCACAGATGCCTGCTTTTATATTGTTTTATTATTTTACTTTTTTACTTCTCTCACATTCATGAGAGATTATAGAAAGGATTTTCAGGAACAGGAAGGCGATCTGCCAAAGTCCCCTCAATTTGTTCAAAAACGTCAGAATGATGCAGGTTTGATACAATTGTCAGTCTCAGCTTCAATCGGCCTTTTTGAAGGCGTAATCCTAGTCTTTTCACAATCATCTGCAGACTGCATAGAAGAAGTCAACTGTGGCATGATTACCAACGTCTCCATAGCAGCTGTTCCGTCTTTCGATAGATGCATCGGTGCTAGTTGCACGGATTCCTCTCTAATACCTGACTAAAGTAGGAAAACGTTTCTGCCTACTAACGTGTAACATTTTTTCGTTCCTCATACGCTGTCTCGCAGGGAATTTGGGTTTCTGTTAAACTCATTCCCGTAGAATCCTCCTTTTAAATGGTTTGGCAGGACGAGGCCGTTGATAGATTCTTCGGTATTTTCATACTACAAGTGAGAGTTGGGTAGGGAATAACATAGTGGTTGGAACTGACCATAGTTAAAAATTAACCTTCAGGCATAACCTCCAGTTCTTCCAGTCAACCATAAACTTGAATGCACTAAACTGGAGTTTCACTCTTATTAGGGCTCTTTAGTAGTGCATATCCACCGTTTCGTCCAGTTTTTTTTAAATAAAATGTACCTTAAGAGAAACAATGGTCTGTCAGCTTACCGATATCTTTCCTTGTTAGATACCCTATAAGATGCAAACAACAATACAAACTGATTGATTTTGCTCATGGAAATACATGTGTTACATATAACCGTGTATCTGGTTTGATTGAAACAAAATGGGTGATCAACGGAGATTAACGAAAAACAGTTGCGAAATAACCCAAGGTTAATGGGTGTGAAAACCAAACCAAGGACCATATGAAAAACAGTAAATCAACAGAGGCAAAAAGTATGGATACATATGCGCAAATTGGTTGTCCTATATGAACTGCTTCGCGACTTCTATTACATTGTCTAGGTGATTACAGTTGAAAACCAGGTAATGTAAAAGCTTTTTATCGTTTCAACAATCATTTGTAAACCAATAACAATCTTTTGTTTGGCCCACAGTCCGAAATATGAAATATGTGCAATGTCAATTGTTTAAGAGCCAATGACGATCGTTCAAGAACCTTGAACGTATTTCAGTTTCCATTCAGTTTGTTGCATGATAATAGTCTATCTGATAACCTTACTCGTTAGGAAAATGAAAACCCGGTTTGAAAACGCGTTTTACTTTCTGAAGAAAGAAAAATAAGACTACACTGAAATGGTGGTATAATAAAGGTTCCAGGATTTACTCAAGTGATTTGCCATGTTCCTTCCTAACTGTACTTGCTTTCACGGACAGGGGGATTTTCTTGGACGTTCTCTCTTTGATACAAGCACTATGCTATTTTGTTGCTTGAAGTATTTTACTATTATTGATTTATATATTGACTCTGTTCATTTGATTTGGTGGAGAGTGACCCTACATTGTTGTTTCTACAAACGACAACTCGGTCAGCTTCACAACCCCTATGGGTCATCGACGAATTTTAAACGATCACCGTGGATTATGGGGTGAGAGGACATCCTGTACGTTTGCTGGCAGTTCCTCGTACATCTCACATCCCCATCACACATTCACTCGTTCGCTATGTGACATTGTGCAGTTTTTCCGACAAAGCAGTGTGTATAAACGTGCCAGCTACTTTCGGTTTTCTCCAGCTAAATAGCAGAATGTGACCAACTAACATACCATTAGAATGAAGTTGACAGCGTTGAATTTGTCGGCAAAATATGCTATATATTCTCACGACGGGATCTTGGATGCTCCTGTTGATAATCATAATAAGAATAATAATCGTAATAATAAAGAAGATAATGATTATCACTAGGGTGATTGCGGTTAATCCTAAGTTTGGAATGACAAAAAATGTTGATATTTCTAATTCTCAGATATCATGGCCTCACTTTACTTTTGCTTTAACATAATTTGCTTCAGATTCAATTATTTCTAGTAGCTTTGGTAAAAATTTGGAGCAGAATTTCACTGAAATTTGTATTTACTTGGCAAAAATTTGCAAAGGCTAAGAATGATGCGAACCATCACTGTTTATTTTGTTGGTTAGGTTGTTTGGTTCTAACACGAATCAGGGATCACAAACATTGGTAAGGGTTCGCAAACCATCGTGAGTCGTGATGCTATTAATCCACAACATGAACAAACTATGATCCAGTTTCACATGTCATATCTGGTCTTTTTAGCTCATATATTATTTCATTGTTATCATATGTTTTCTTCATTGTAAGAAGAGTACGGTTGCAGGGCCAAGATTATCACACATTTCGAGAACCGTTGCTGTTACTTTTCAAACTTCACCACGTTTTCCATCTTGCATAAGCTTTTCTGAATCCTAAATTTGTTGGTCTCACCTCACCACTCCGGACTTAATCACAGACATCTCTGCGCAATTTCACATTCCGTATGCAACCGGGTTACGAACTATCAACGGACTCATGCGCTTATTGCGATCACCTGATCTCCCCGTTCCTCGTTTCTCGTCTCCTGTTCATTCGCGGAATGCGTTACTCGTCTCTGCCCGGTCCGATCGCTTTCGTTGATCTGTTTGCTCGTTTGACTCATAGTGGGCTGGATGTGGTGGAACAACCGCGGGCAGTGGCCTGCACGGATGTGCTGTTTCACTTGCGTTCGCCCGAGCACAAACTGGATCAGTTCGAAAGAGAACAGTGGTCCATGTTGGTTCATAAGTGGAAATTAAATAGAATTCAACTTTCCCTGCTGGTCGATCACAAATGGGATTGCCAGGAGGCCGGAATACAATGCGACACATTCGTACGATCTGGACTGTTAATGCCTCCGTGTTGTTTACGGGAACAAAATCGGTGTTTCAAAGGATTTCTCAAATTGTGTTCCTCTTTGGCGGTCAAAACGCGTATGCATGGAGACTATTTGACGGGGATGTTCAACCCCTTAGCTGGAGATAGCCCATGGCAATCAGCTTTGGAAATTCAATGGAATCACCCGGAGTATGAGGTCATTATGAAAAATATTACTGATCCGTTATACACGAAATACGGTTGTCAATTATCGGAAGTGAGTAAATATGACAGTGGTCAGTTGATATTAAGTTCGAAGAATTGGCAATGGACAACACGAGGTGAACTGCTGATCACCAACCAATCCAATCGCATGAATTCGACCACTTTAACTAGACCTACTTTGGTCAATGTGAATGGATTTTGGACAGAAACACATTTCAATCCCGGACTGGTCATGTCTCGTTCACTGTTCATGACTTTAGAATATGCGTCTTCGGAGATTGAAGACAATTTTTGGAATACCGGAATGGAACTGATTCCGGTACCGTTCTGTGCGGCACATCAGTTACGTGCTAATTGTTTGAGTGGGAATTTCCTCCCATTAGGCAATTTGCAATATCAAGAGTCGGAATATTGGTGAGTCAATCAGTCGGACTCATTTGTCAACCCTGAACGGGATTACATTTTTGCAATCATTGCTAGTAAAGTGACTTGTGAAACAGACACTGTTTTATCTCCACATCTCACCATGTGGATGCGTTGCATTCGTCAAACAGGAGTCTTCACAGACACAGTTCAGTGTTTCCGAAGACAGCTTGTATACTGCTTTGTTTTTCTATTTGAACACGAACAGTGTGAATCGTGTTTCCAAATCTCTCTCTCTTTTGTAATCCTATTTTAGCATGCAACATTTGTATATGTGATTTGGGACCGGAATAAAAACGGCATACTGAGTTGTGTAGGAAGAATCGTAATTTGCACAATCAACAGCATATATGAACATTAGAACACCAAAACCATAAATAAAAAAGAATGCATTATTTGGCAACTATCTCCAAAATCTATACCTGTGGTGTGTTCATCAACTGTGCCTTGCAATGTACTAAAAGATGTTTACTCTGTTGGTGCCAGTTGAGTATGAGCACCTGATTGTAATGAGAACCGTTGATATTTAGTTAACCTTTCGCAATGAAGGACTGTCTGGTACTACGAATGTCCCCCCGGTAAGATGAAACTTGAAGCTGCGTTAGTTACAGATCTCCCTCAACCCAGAATAGGAACGGGATTTGTCATTTTTTGTAACACTGGAACCTTACGCTAAGGGTGTCTGAATATCGACAGTGAAGTTCAGGAGTACCAATTTTGATTCTCAACCGAACGTTTCACTGTCAAATCGTAGCTGAAACGCAAAACTAGTATACACAGGACCGAGGCGGTCATAGAGCTTTGGTTTGGATTTCAGCTTACAAAACCGTAAATCGTCAACTTTCCTACGGCAGCCTCCGTTGGTGTCTTTTGTCTACCCATCTCGATATAGTGAAAGTAGCAGAAAGCTGACGGCAGCATAAAGGTAGCGATACATGAATCAATTAAACTAAAATTGCGAGGAGACTGGGTAGAAGCATAAACAGCACTGTTCAGTACATTCGATCATTTTTCTTCAGCAGCGCGACTTCATCGGCTCAAGAGTCCGATCAACTTCCCGGTGGTTTAGTGGATGGCATGCTTGCGTTCTACTTTTAAGATTACGAGTCCGATCCCCAGTAGGGTCGATGGATTTGCTCAACTGTTGAGACCCGACCAGGTCAAACTAGCTGTCCAGTGATTTCTAGCTTTTCTGTTCTCGGTTTATTTGTTCTTTACACGACAAAATTCACAATATCATACTGTATTATTCACATGAACGTTCAGTCAAAACAATGCCAAATCTTTGAACAGTAAAGCACTCCATAGGTAAAATCATTGCGAAAATCGAGGTTCACCGGTCAAATTTGGGTTGGACGGAGGAATGGGGTGAGAGAACATACTCATCCATCGGAAACACGGCGGAAACCCTAACACGGCCAGGCCAAGTTGGTTGCAGAAGAGTGCTTTGTGACGCCGAATGGATACAGTATCAGCAAACCATAACAACTGTTCAGTTTTCTGTCGACTGAGCACATGTAAATACTTGTTTCGGGTTGATGCGAATAGACCTGGAGGGAATCTTGAAGCCATTAAGCTTCAGATTTCTAGAGACGTGCTCTAAGATCCCAGCGGTTAGTCGTACCTCGGTTCTTTCGACATTCTTTCTACCGCAAGTGCATTGAAAAAGGTAAGTACAAGAAGAGACTTTTAAGAATCCGACTTGTCCAAGTTGGATTCGCCAACCATTAGTCTGCTTTTATGGAGAACGATCAGCGAAGTGGCGTAGTATGTTCTTGAGATAACAGGTTTTAAGCTATATTGTGTCAGTTTCTCACTCTGATCACCTTTATGCGGTAGCGTGACGAGAACCCTTTTCTTTGGTACATCGTATCTCCATATCTCTTATTTCCATAGTTGCCGACGAACTTCTGGGGATATCCACTATCCTGCAATGCACAAGATATCAAATCATTGTTACTTTCAAGTTTTTTCTGAGTTGTAAATTATATTCTGTCTAGAACATAAACCCTTTAACAGGGCTCGTTTATTATGCATTGTACTGATGCTTCTGAAGTTCAGATACTGTGCCTTCGAAGTTGGTTTGTGGAATGCAGACCTCATGAGCGACCCATCATCCTTTCCCGTGATTTGCACATTTTCTCTTCGATCCTAATTTCAACCTTTCCTGTCTTTCTACTGATGTTCATCCAAATGGGTAGCCGAAAGATAGCAACCAAAACCGGCGAACGATAGTGCATGGTTAGTTGCGTGTTAACATGAAGGTTGTGTTCAAAATCACCAGCACAATTTACTCAAAACTAGCTAACCTCAAAGATCCGCATGAAAAAGGGGACACTTTCGACGTAGTCTATGGAATACATTATCTAGACTGTCCTGGAACGTATGTCGGCCAAAAGTCCAGGAGCTCAGACAGACGAATGACTGAACGCATGCGTCTAACGAAGAAGAACCCAAATGATGCAGCAGGGTGGAATCGAGTAGAACATACTTCCGCAATCGCTGGTTACGCAATGTGCGAAGGACATGCAGTTGATTTCGAAAACTCGCACATTCTGAAGCATGGGTTCAAAAGTCA